TGACCACCTGCTGCAATGCACCCTGAGCCCTCCCACATGCACAATGGAGGACCTCCTTGTGGCAACACCAGAGGCACTCCACGGGGCCAGATACTGGTCAAAGGACATTTAATCAACTACCAAGCTTGCAAAATTTGTGTTTTTTTATCTGTTTGTTTGTTCTGTTAGAAATGTAATACAATGGTATGGTTGCTGATTACACGATAAATAATACTCCACTCCTCACTTCTTTCCAGGATGAAGAGGAAGCCTTGATGAAGAGAAACCCATTGGGTTCCTTCACTTCACCAATTACAAAGAGTGATCATTCCAGTTACCCATTGTTACCCATAAAAATATATGGGGCATATTTTAATCCAACCAGCCCAGCCTAGTAATTTATCATGTGCTTGTTCATTATAATGGAACACCCCTCCATCTTCAATCCAATTTCTCTGTGTGCATGTGGGCGGAAAGAGAGGAGGAGGAGGATGGCTAATTTCAGTCGCAGTCCCAGTTAACGTACTTAATAGAGCGCCTGCTGGAATCTAAGTGACACCTACGTAGGCATTCAATACACCTCTGATCTTTAACCGCCTTATGTGGCAGAAACCCTGATTATAAGGACACCCGAAATTATATTACAGCTTGAATAATTAGGATTTCCTGACCACAGAAACAGTGAGATGCACAGATGGTTCAAGAAATGATATCTAGGCTCACGCAGCGCGTGCTGAGATAACAAGATAAATGCATTCAGTGGTTTTTTCAAAAGTCCTTTGTGCTGCCACATGTATGATTATGCCTCATCCATAATGAGGGAAGGCCCCTGATGCGTAAAATAAACTACCTTGCCCCATTAAAAGACTGTATTTGAAAAATGTCATCTCACCCAATTAGACCATTTTGTGTATCACAGCCTGAACAACAACATTCGGTATCTGCAATGTATATCAGCAACGGAGATAGCATTGTGGCCTCTGCGTATCCATTTATGCAGTTCAATTCTTTTATGGATTTTTTAAAAAGAAAATCAAAAGCAGAAGCATATTTTGCATTGACCGGCGTATTGGCTATCCTTGCAGAAATGCCAAAAATAAGCCCTCCTTCTGCCATTCGTAAATCTGAGTTCAGGAGTGAGGTCAGATGTCTTCGAGTTTGCAAGATGATAAGAGACTATGTGAGCCTCCCAGCAGGTTTCTTTTTAATGAATCACAAGTCATAATTATGTATAATAAAGAGCAGGTCAAGGAAATGAAGAAGTCTCAGCCCTTCACAGGTGGAAACCTGGGGTGCGCAAAAGACCGCTGAGTCAGTAAAGATGCAGAAGTAATTTCTGGAAAGAGTAAAGAAACAAGGAGCAGGGAGACAGGAAATGAACAAGATTGAACAAGTTCAGACTGGACCCAGATAGGACAATAAAGACTACGGACCAGAACCAATGTGGGACAGAGGCTGTGGCCTCAGGAGAGGAACTATAGACTCACCAGCTAACTTCCCCTTTGTTTTGCCGTTGGGAGTAGAGCTGGAGAAATGTATCATGTTCCACAGTTGATGGTGGTTGGTGGTGGCAGGCCTAGCAGTTGGTAATGGAAGAAGTTAATGTAAGTCTTAGTTCTAAAGGGCTGAGTAATCTGTAAGTTAGAGTCTGCTGGCACAGCTGTGCTAGAAGCTAAATTTTCTTTTTCTGTGCATGGTTAGTTTGCACGTGTTTCTGTTAGCCATGCATTTTGCAGTTAAGCAGCTTCCCCCAGGCTGCAGTCATAGGCTAGCAGCCTGCCTATCATCGTTGGGGCTTTTGGAACTGCCCTTTTCCCCAGGTTCAGGAGGGAAAGGGGGACAGTTTGTGCAGTCTTACAGTTTGAAGCCCAACTACAGGACGTGTGAGCAGAGGCGGCTCAACCCATTACGCAAGGTAAGCATTTGCAGTATAGTTGATTTTGCCCAGGGGCACTCTTGGGGGACCTTGACATATGCGAGTTGTAGTTACTGGGATGTATAGTTCACCTACAATCAAAGAGCATTCTGAACTCCACCAATGATGAATTGAACCAAATATGGCACACAGAACTCCCACGACGAACAGAAAATATATATCAGTGATTGGTTGGGGGGGGGGGCGCCAAAATACTGTTTGCTTACCGTTGAAAATTACCTAGGGCCGCCTCTACGTGTGAGTGTTTCCCTCCTGTAGAAAAGCTTCATTTCTTAGAAGCTTGGCTGTGGAAGACAATTCTCACAGCTTGACTGAGAAATACAGCACAGCCCTTGTTGGGGTTAAAGAAACAGCTCCACAAATTCGTGGAAAAAATCCAAAGGACTCCAGCTGGAAAATCTTCAGAGTTTTAGCCAGTAAAGTCTACTCGGGTACCCATAAAGCAAATTGGAACCAGGAGTAGGGCCCCACGCCAGCTAAGCCTAAAAGACAGATCACCCAGGGAGGGGTCAAAAGGATTTCCCTCATAGAAGAAAGAAACAGTTCATGAAGCTAGTTGCCTGTCCATTGTGAACAAGTTAAGAAATAGTTGGTGTTGCGTCTCAGGTTAAGCTTCACCTTGCTCTCTGACAAACCAGCCAAACTTGAGAAGAAAGAAGTTTATTGAAGTTTCAAACAAATCCAAGTAAAAGCAGTAAAAAGTTCAATAGTACAAAGTATAGGTCCCATAAGTTCTATTGATTCAAAGCAGGAAAATTGAGGCAAAGAAGCAGGATATAATCCAGGCAATAGCATGAAGTTACAGGAAGCAAATGAATCCCAAGGCCCAAGCCCTAGAGCCAAAGGTACAGCAATCCATATTGCAAAGTTGGATCTGACACTGAATCAGCTTTCAAGCAGTCTTCTTATAGGAAAATCATCAAAACATTGAACATTAAACAGAACAGCTA